ATTTAAAAATGGTCGCGATAGGATTTACTAAATCTATCCGGTCCCGCGCAAGCCTACTAATAACATTAGATATATCAATAAAAATATAAATAACAATACTAATATTGTTATTTTTTAGGTGATTTTCCCTTCAAATACCAAATAAAAACCCATTTAATTATCTTCAATATACAAAATCCGAAAATTAAAATTAATTTTTTAACAATATTATTGTTATTTTAAAATATATTAATATATATTTTTTTTACGAATTTAACCAAATCTAAAATATAAATATTATATCATAATATAAAATTCTATTTATTTATATTAATATATATATATAATTAAATATACAAACCATAATAATTACTATAAAGATTTCATCAAATAATATTTACAAAATATATAAATACATCAAATTATAGAAATTTAACTAAAACAAAAAATCCGACGACAACCTTCACCAAATAAATAAATATATTTGTAAATCAATATATTTAATATTCAAAATGAATATTTATATCAAATTCTTTTAATTCCATAATTAATTTTTTAATAATTATATAATTATAAATTATAAAAATAAATATTTTTCAATATACAAATTCATCCAGAAATTAAACAACATATAAACAATAAATAACAACCGAATAAACAACAATAAACCTACCTATATCAAAAAAGAAAATATATATATATATCTAGCTAAATCAATAAATAAAACCTAATAAATAAATATATTAATATAATACAACAATTTTCATGTCATTTCATTATTCGGCAATCGTTATATCTACCCATCAAGGGCTATGCATGCGGTGCACACCACAGCGGCTGTTTCGTAAACAGCTCACGGCCCAAATCTACGTTACCTAAAATCAAAAACAAGCGAGTTATGCATCAAAAGCAGCTCCGAGTAAATCAGGGAGGTCTCACGGCTAATAGTGCGGCAAATGGGCAGACGCCAACGCGGGTTCGTAAGGAGCTCGTCTAGCACCAACCATAACAAGTAGCTGTCATCGTAAATGGCATTATCAACCACGTGTTTCGTTCATGGTTAGCTTTCATCGTCGACCATCAAATAGTCCAAGGACGTAAACATCCCTATAACATACTAGCCTCGATCCGGCCTATCACCTCTATGCATCACGGTCGAAATAGCCTTATAATTATATCACGAAATCTCAAAGCCTATAAAAAAATCGAACCCCCGGAAAAAAAAAAAATTCAATACAATCCCCCGAATATCTATCAATTTAAAAAAACATTTATTAATGCGACTATACGAATATACGAATAAAGAGTTATTAATCAAACCATTTATAAACCAAATTCTTAAGACATATATTTTTCCGATTAAATAATACGAAAAAATAAAAAGGTCAATAAAAATTATTCTTCCTCAAATATGGTTATAATACATTTTTGCGATCCCAATTAAGAATTATTAACCGAATAACCTACGAACAATTATTAACAAAACCAATCTACAAATTCTACAATATTTTATTATTCTATACATTCCCAATCATTAAATCATAATCCAAAAATATCCCCAATAACAAAAAAAATACAATATATTATTCTATTTAGATATATTTTTGTATTAGTAATATATATGTTCTTAATTATATTGTAATATTGTATAATATAATTATGTGATATTTAATATTTGTTGTCAATGCATGTCATTGGCCTATTAATTGGAATTCATCCAACATAATCTTGACCTGTAAAATCGGCCAAAAAGACGGATAACGAGCAATTGGAAGTCTAGCAGTTGGATGTGCCCATGCCTCCAAGAGGTGAATCCCATTCTGGATTGAACGGTATTGATAAAATATTTTCATCTGTTTCAATGCCATTAGTGCTAAATCATGCTGATGAAAAACCTATCATAATTCATATCAAATCAAACTTACACTGGCAAGCTCCAATGATAGCAATGAGGAAAGTGGGGCTCGAGGACTTGGTAGGCGTTGATACTACGAGCCATGACCTTCAGATTCCCTCCAGGCAAAAGGGTCCAATCTGCCCAAATCAACGGTCTTTTTCGTAAATACCACCGTCTCTGACCGTGTGACATACAAGACACCCAAATCCGAAACCAATCCCCGGCAGTCCATTCCCAATCAAAAAGAGCTGCGGCTGAGGAGCCACCAACTGAGGAGCCAATCTAGCGAGCTGCCCGCCAGACCTGACTTGTCAGGCTGGCTCCGGCTCCAATCAGATCCAATCAATCACCTCCAAACACCCATGTATGTTGGAGGGATCAATGTAGGGGCTTGGAACCCCCAAAACACTGTTCCATGGGTATGATTCCATCCCAGGTCAGCTTTTCTTCCTCCCTCCAAAAAGACGGACAAGTCATGGTCGTCTCACAGAACCGGTTTGTTGAGATCGAAAAACAAGGACCAGCTCGGAAGTCGATCCCCAACAACTAATGTCGACCTCTTGATTAATCAACCCCCCATAAGAAGAGGATCTTCATTTTGTCCATTGGGGGGTTATGGTCCTCAAGAGTCTACAACTGATCCCAGAGGTCGATCCCACTGTTCTCTTCGGACACCGACCCGGTGGAGCTCGACCGGACTCGCCGACCGGACGAGTGTCTGCGCCAAGCGCACTGGAGCTGAATCCTTCACACTCCAGAGCAACCTCTTCACAAACAGCTCATATATTATAGTATAGTGTAACTTATAGTGTATCAATATCGATCAGTTTTTTGTATCACTAGGCTTGGGAAAATTCTGAAACAAAGGGAACAGTTCAGTTCTTTCAGATCTTCCAGACTCTTCCACCTTCTCACGCCGCATGGGCCGCTCCGCCCTCGGAACCGCGCCACTCTTTGACTTTGCCGGTACGACGAGGTGGTCTCACAGGTCTGCGGGTCGGAGACGTCCACCCAGTCTGAAACATGTATCATGTTTCAATTGGCTTAAGGATGCTTAAGGAACCCAGAAAACATCATCTTCAGCAGATTTCGGCATGACCACTGCTTGACCCTAATTATGAACATCACCCTAAGCAAACCTAGGTCAAGACATTCACAATGGAAACAGATCATGACTAGCGAACACAATTCAGGAAGTGTGCTCCACACGAAAACCGATGTGTCCCCAACACAAATGTTGGCAAGTACCATATAAAGCCACTCATGAAAAACTCTCCAAAAACCCGTTCTTCCAACTCCGGGGCATCCACCGACCCTGTCAAAACATCGGCATCCTCCGACCCGTTGGAGACCGTGACTACAGTGACTTCGTGGGACTCACCGCTTCACCGGAGCCTCCTTTGGAGACCGGTGACGCGGCTCTCACCGGTCCAGCGGCTCGCGGGGTCCATCGAAGCCATCTTCGTTGGCCTCGAAGCGAAGCGCGCGCGCCAAACCGCGCGGTGGGTGTGTTTCTGTTGTTCGTTGTGCTCCAGGGATTGGGGAGAGGGGGAGGGTCAAGAAAAAAACATCAAGTTATAAGTTGGACTTTCGAATTCGATGGGTTGTCTCTTGCTTTCAGAAGTGATGCATGCTATACTGCATACGACTTGAGACTTTAAGACAGCCCAACTTCAACAAACAACACCTTTTGAGATGGGTTGGAAAAGGGAATGCCGTTTTGTGATGGTTTTCTTTTCTAGCAGATTCTAGCAGCAGTCAAAGGTAAAGCCGGAGTTCGTAGGACAATAAAGGATGCTTCGTACTTCCGTGGTCCTCTTTATTCTCTGTGGGGCGGGGATTTCCCAAGATCGTAAGAAGCTGCGATTCCAAGAATTCGTCCAATGGTGGTCACCCAGCTACTTGGCTGTGTCATGAGTCACACGACTCACGTCACACGACTCACATCTCGTCACACGAGTCGACTGTCTGACGTCACACGACGAAAAGCTTGTCGTCACGTCGTCGGATGCGACGACTCCCGTCCGTCGTCCATCATCCGTCACGTCTGGGCGTTGTCGTCCACGCCTTCAATGTCACCTGTAAAGGAAACTCTTGCCTGGAAGCGATCGAATCGAAGAAAGGGTTTCGATTCGGACCGAAGGAAGCAGCAAATCGGCCCAAAAACAACGCCTGCAGGCAACGAGGAAGTGTCCAACGAAGCCTGCTTTACATACTTCACTTTGAAAATTGTTGGTTTGTGCCCATCTTGTGCTTAGGGTCTGTCCCTGGCTGAGGTAGCCTACTAAGCCTTAGTAGAAACGAGGAAGCCTATGAGAGGACAGCCATGTCTGCTTGACCCCTGCTTGAGCAAACAAGCACTTTGACACGAATTAACAAGATGCTGTACGGCCCGGCTGCTTATGTGCATGGCACTGTTCTCCCTATGTCTTTCAAGAACTTTCATATTATCTCGGGCCACCACAGACTAATCGACTGAGTGGGGACGTCGACTTTCATGAAGGTGTGCCCAACAGTGGATGAATCCTTTGGTTAGCCACAAGCTTTACCACAAAGATGGTGATGCTGATACTAAAATACTGGGAGGGATCTAAGCCAATGTGTGTGTTCTCTCCGAGATCATCCATCATAGGTACTATTAGTTACAGTACCTACATAGAACTGTTATCTATGGGGCAAATGTATGTGACCCACACCATACCTGGATGGTCTGGGTCTTGAGAAAACCCATGGATGTTCCACCCAAAACCACCTGTGTGGTCACTACATAGATCCGCCATGGACGCACCCAGGGATGGAGACATTACGTGATTTCACTCCCAAGCAAGTATGCTCTTTCGTGACCAGGCTGTTTTCATTTGTATTTAGGTAACTGATAAAACCCAAATTACCCTATTGGAGTGCACAATAACTACGGTCTTGAAATGGTGTTCATTAAGTTATATTAAGTTACTATGTGCAACGAATGAAGTGGCAAAGTGGTCACAAGCTCCGTTTCCGGCAGTTCTTTGATCAGTCTCAAGCCATGCTTCCTCCGGAAACCAACATCCAAATGCATGGCCTCACCACTTGGCACCTCTACTGACACCACAAGAGAAGGAACGTCTAACAAGGAACGCACGTTCTAACGTTCACCGCGCTGGCGCCTCACCGGCAGAGCGTTCCCACGGTCCAGGGGCCGTGGAATCGCCCGGTACATCTCAAAGAAGTGCATGATCGGAAGTTGGTCCTGCCTCAGACTGAGTGAAGATGAAAACATACGGGATATTCTGTCTGAGGAGAAGGAAGTTCCAGAGAATATCTCTTAAGTTCAATTTCACGGAAATTCAAGACTTGGTGGAACGAAATGGACCAACAAAAATGTGAATTTTCTTGAATCTTTTGCCCAATGGAGTGTCATGATATGAGCTTTCACTAAACAACAGCAACACACAAAACTGTCAACACATCTCTAACTATCAAAGTATAACTCTTAAAGTGTAACTCTTAAATGTATTCCTATTCTTCCTATGTCTTCCTATTCACATTCCTGTTTAAAACCCAAAACAACCTAATGCCTTCAAAACACCCTCACGCCCGCAAACCCCGGCTGAGACGTGGACTGTACGGCCACGTCTAAAGGATGGGGCTGCAACTTCCCCGACGCCTGCAGTTTGGACAGCGCGGACAGCGCCAGCACTTCGGTGTTTTCCCGTGGAAGGGTCAAAACTGGGGAGCTAATCGGAGCCGCTCTCAGGACCTTCTGAGGTCTTTGAGATGGGTACCAGGAGAGTCGATATAGCTTCTGAGGTACGACTGGAGCCCTTTGCGGTCAGTTTTGAAAAAAGAACACATCAGAGATCATCCAAGTACTGTAATGGAGAGGATTTCAGTGGAGAGGCATGACATGATGGGCCCGAAATGGTCCCAAACACCAAAGAACCTCTTCGCTTAGGCCAAGATGCATCCCGGACCAGCGACCTGCAGAGTCCGCACACACCTCCGCCATTCTGCCGCCCTTCTGCACCTCCCCAAAGGTGATGAGTCCCCCGTTCTCTGGCGGCTTTAGACGTTGGAACGGGTCGGCCTCAGACGGTGGCGGATCCGGCGGATCCGGCGACATGAAACATGCCATGTTTGCGTTGGGACTGGACGGTCTTGAGTGTTTGGACATAGAGGATCTTCCAAGATCTGCAGATGTAGTAGAATCAACGGGGAAATTCCTGTATACGCTTGCCAGCCACCGATCTGCTTCAGCATCGCTGTACTCGCTATACTGTTTGTATCTGTTTGTGTGGCCATGAAGCTGTGCAAAAAGAACCGCACAAGTCTCTCCAAGCCGAGAGGCTCGAAAACTCACTAAGAGCTGGCACATGAACTCATCGCCCATCTGGCGAAGCGGCGAAGAAAACGTGAGAAACGTCGGTCGAAACGCTCAACGAAACGTCCAACGGCTCGACTGGGACAGTCTGGAGCTCTGCGTCCAAAGCACAACATATCGCCACGTGGCCATGACTTGTGTGAGGAGGTAGTGACTGTTTGTGGTTCAAGTATGTTCAATCAGCCTGCAAGATCTGTAAGAGGTTGTGGCCATTTGTTTGGTCCTTCACGCATCTTCACGCCTCTTCCGCCGTTTGGATTCTGCTTTCTCCCCCTGCCTCGGCGGCCAAGTACAGCGCCGTGCCTTGGAACGACTGAAAGTGACAAGGGCATCGCTACTAGTAACAAGAGCATGACAACTAGTAGCTAGAAGCTATTAGTACAAATTCTTTCGAGAGTTTAGTTTCAGTTTCTAAGCCTTTGAAAGCCTTGGATTCTTCTCTTCACCCCACAGAGCGATCAAACTCTCAGACTCAAAAAACCGGACGATCCATCCAAAACCGCTCAATAAGGCAACTCCTTTTGAACCGCTCAACCGGAAACGGTCACGCTCCGTTGACGCTTTGAACCCGTGGATCCCGCACGGTGATGCCGCGGGGACAAAGGCGTCGAAGGCCTTGGAGGTCGGCCACCGAAGCGGGGGTTGGGGATGTTTGCGGGTGAAAGCTTGGGCCAGACTCCAATCGAGTTTCTGGGTTTTGAAGGGGGGAAGTAACTAGAATTTACACTGGCTGACTCTTGAAGAAGCTCCCTCCGGAGCGCACTGGGGTAAGCAGTATAGTTGGATGATAGGGGAGTGATGGGTGCCACAAGTGGCCCCCGGTAGGGTGCATCGAGCTGTTTCTTAGAGCCTGCCGGGACTGCCTCTTCAGGTGGGTCTTTTCTCAATCTATATGTGACAAGTGACAAGTCTATTTATTCTCAACTGTCAACTTATACTTATGTTCTTTTCTCAACTTATGGAGAACTCGTTTCTCAAGGTTTTCAAATGTCTCCAAATCAATGATCCCTGTGCCAACCTGTGCCCTGAGCGCCCCAAACGGAAACCCTGCTCGGAGCAAGAGCCTGCCAGGCGGCGAAACCTTTAAACAATGGTTCCTGTCCACAAAGGATATGAACAACATACTTCAAGTGGCGAACTGCTCACAGCCAACGCGGTCAACCGCGGATTCGAAACTGGAATGGGTCTGAATCGAATATTTTATGAATCGGGTCTGTGAAATACGAATATGTCCACGCTACATCAACACAAACAGTTCATGAGATCCCCACCCCCCAGTTTCAGAATCGGGATACCCATCTCCATGCTACATCCAATCTGCACGCCCTGCGCATCGGCACGGGCACCTCGAACGGTCCGGCAGCCAGGCACCCATCCAATGGATTGAGGGGGGTGAGCTGAGTCACCAACGCGACGTCCAAGGAAGGCAACGCCAAGGACAACAGCGCTGAATGGATAAAATGGTCCGTGGTAGTGAACCAGTGACCAAAACCCGTACAGTACCGGCCATCCTTACCACATCTCAAGGGACCGTCGCCTGCGAAACTCGTGGCCTCTGTTCAACATGTTTTGCAACTCCAACACTATGCTACTGGTTGTCGGTTGATGCATTAAACACTTTCGTTGGGGTGACAACACATGATTTTGCACGATAATGATATTCATGATAATGATATAGCACTTTTGCTACACTTAGTTGTGCTGTGTTAAAAATTGATAGCCTGTGATAGCCTGTCACCTTGTACGGTCTTTTGGCAACTAGGGAATAGACTTTGCCTCATGTGTAGTTCTGAATTGAAAAAAAAAAAAACGTCATGAAAAGAATCCCAACCGTTAAACAAGACAGTGCAAGATTGCGCTTTGGCCAAAACGCTTCCCTCATGTGTGCTTCGTGCGAGCTTCGCAGGCTTCGCCTCACCGCGTCGTAGTCGCGATTGCAAACCTTCTGGCGGAAGTGGGCGGTGGCCTTGGGGTTCTCCTGCACATGGTCGGGTCGACCGTGTGGCAGCAAGGCGTACGTCGTCCATGGTCTCCATGTTCATGGAAGTTATCTGACCCAATCTGGGTGTAACTTCTCTGAACAACACTTGCAACACATAGCTCTGGCTTGCACTTCCCCTACAAGTTCAACCAAATATATAGGTGTGTATTCGAGATCAAAGGTGTGATTCCGAAGTATGTGAAGAACATTTCAAAATGGGTTTCAGGGAGGTGTTCTATCTCAAGAACATGTGAGAATCATTGAGAATCAACCATGCGGCCAGCTTCCCCGGACTAGAACAAAGTCAGGATAGAGAGACATTGATTCTACGCACAATTGCCCTACCAACACGTCTATATATCTACCAAAATTATTTGATCACGTTGTTTTATATTCTCCGAAAACAAACGCGGTGGACATGGGTAAAACCAACGCCCGCGTACCAGTATGTCAACCAAACACCCCGGACAAAGGTTTTTGTCCTTGATGTAGGTCAATGAAGGCAAGAAGAGGTTAGGAACATCCCAGCCTGGGCCACGGGTTCACGTTTCCGTTGGAGCCCTTCGCTCAGATCAGATTAGACTCTGTCATGTACTGTTTACCCTTGAACTTGGTGTTTGCGATTTCCTTGGACATGCGTAATAGGCGTAACAGGATTCCATCACTTTTGCAGATCTCAAGATCTGAACCCATCACCAGAGCCGAACGCGTACGATTCTCCGGGAAAAACCGCGAACCGATGGATCGAACGCGAAGGTCCAAGAATTTAGAAGCTGTTGGTTCTAAAGTTCCACACTCCTCACTTTTGGAGCGGAGGTTAGATTGCCGTTCGATACGACAGCCAGGACCCAGGCACTCCCGAAAGCTCGTAGCTCTGCTATCGATACCACCTTGATCCCTTGATCCGATTCAGCACCAAGCTTCATCATCTTTGGCAAAAAATGGTGAACAGCACCTGTAAAACTAACCTGAAGTGCAGCAGGTGAACTGCACCTGTAATACTGTAATGTCTTTTTTGTTCGGTGATCCACACAAACATGTTTTACTAACTTGAACCGTCCAATCCACCTGTAAAATCGGTCTGGATCAGTTTCACCTACACCTTTGGTCACCTCTTTGTTCAGGGGACTGGAGAATTCCAAAGCAAGCAGAAACAAACTAGAACCCATTTGACCCCCTGATAGGAACAAAGCGATATAGACATGATATTTTGGGTAGTTGGTGGTCTAAAGTTTCTATATACAGAGGTCACAAAAAAGGGCTATGTCTGTGACACCTCCGTTCTTCGACCGATCCTCCTGGCTCAGTGTTCCCCACGAGGCTCGGACGTCCAGGTTGATAGACTCGTCCAAAGAGCTTCTCCTCCGGTGCCACCTGGTCCTGCTCGTGTCGGGGGAGCCAAACGCTGAAAGCGACGTGAAAGCGGGGGGTGGAAGAACGTTCAATGAAGGTTCAAACGGACTCAAAGTGTCTAGCAGCTGTGGCAGTGGCCCCTTAAGTATGTTCTTGCAACATCCAAAAGCATGTATGCTTGGCGGAAACGATCTGTAACAATGTTTAATCACATTATCCAATTCTATTTATACTGTTGCTTTCTACCATACTTGCCATCAATCATGGAAGCTGACACTGACCTCTGGAAGACTCTTGGCCTCTACAAATAGCAGGTACCTGCAAGGACTTCCTGCGAAGATATTGGTCTCTGTGAAGGCAATGCACAGAAAATCCCCAAGGCAGTGCCCGAATGCGACCACCATGCGGTGCCCCCAGAACATACCACCCGACTGCATGTAGTGGCCTGGGCAACGGGGCCGCTCCGCTATGGCCCAGATAGAGACACTGGTCACTCCGAACAGGACTGGCACATCCGGGCAGTTGAGTTGTGTTGGTCTCTTTTTCAGCTGCCCCAAACCTGGTGTGTAGAACAATACCAACAAACCTCACTGACCATGGTGACCTTTCTCATGTGAAGAAAAGCCATGGGGACGCTTCACCCATCGCTTCAGCCAAGGCGTCCCAAGAGCGGCCCCCCTCTCCTCCGCCTTTCCTGACGATTTCAGGCGTGTCCGTGAACACCACGCGGGACCACATGGGTTCATGGGCTCATCGACAGGCCAACAAAACCTCCCAGAGTTGGGACTCTGGGAGGGATTCGCGACCTCTGTGAGATGGATCGATCTTCAAACACCGGAAAAAAACAACGGATGAACGAGGAAAACACCTGGTGTTTTGTTGGTACTTTCCCTGGTGTTTCTTTTGGTTGGTTTTTATATGAGACGTGTACCTCGTACCTCGTGACTCGTTGGCCCCAAAGACCTCCCGGATCTCAACGTCCCGCGCGTCAGTCACGTGAGGACGGACGGAACCACTGGAGGTTCAGCGCGCTGTGTAAACCACTGTGAAAACCCGGCAGATTGGATGGTTGGTGGAAATTCCAGAAGTTCGATGTTCACGAGTGTCGAAACAGGGGAAGAAGACTCTGGCATGGTCCCATGGTAATAGGGGAGAGACCTTGACCATGCTTTGAAACACACCATATCCAAAAAGAAGGGTCAGAGATCATCAGGTCCTCTCAAGTCTTCTCATTCTTCACGTGTATTCCAGTGGGGATCTATAGCCGTTCGCCCTTCAGGTGCCGTTCCCCTTGGTTCATGAACTATCCAGCACGGACGAGTGAAATCTCGCGCATCCACTTTCAAAAGCCTTCTAATGGCATAATATCTTATATAACTTATATATATATATATCCCCAGTGGCACGGTGTCCATCTATCGACCCGTAGGGATCCTACTTTTCTATCAACCTTCCTCAGATCTCTCTGTCCTCGGTCTCCCGCTGTTCGATCACCGTGTCGAAAGGCGGGCGCGAGATCTCGGCGCCTTCATCGTGCTTCAGGGCCATGGCGCGGGATGAGGACAGGAGATTGGTGGAGAAGTTGTCTCATGTTTTGAATGTGGCTTTCTGGGCATGGAAAACATGGAACAGGAAAGCTATACAGGCCTCCATGTTCCTTTCACACTTACAAAGCAAACCAATTCAGGAACCCGAGCACACCAGACACTTACACAGCCTACAGACTCACAAACAGCAACGGCAGCGTCCTCTCTTAAAGACTTCGGTGCAGCGAGATGTGAATTTTCCCCTCTTCTGTGGCGGTTTGTGGGTATTGTTACCCACCATCTCAGATGGGCCGAAGAAGGGCCTGTGGATGCCTACCATTATGGCCTTCTCCAACCTTTGACCATTTGGTCTCATCTTCGTTTCATGTGGCACCATCTCGTGGCCATCTCCGATCTGGAGCCGGAATGAGCGGCGACAAGGACCGTCACTGACCATGGGCAGTGGTGTGAGACGGACCCATCGACGGGATCCGAACAATTCGAACCGGTCATGGGGGAGGGTCTTTCTTGGCTGAAGATTTGGCCATCCCAGAGACTTTTAGGGTTTACCTTGAAGAGCCAGAAACCTGGGATCAAAGATGTTCAAGGTCATTTTTGAGGCATACCCACATGGTCGGGTTGTCATTTTTGAAGTTGTGGCTCTCTTCACTTCTTGCAGTCTCGCCTTTTGGATCAGCATCCCCCACTGGTTTCTCTGTCCCTCCAAGATTCTGACCGCGGGTCCAAGTGAAGTGTCACTGCCTGGAGCAGAAAAAAACCGTTCCGTTCGGAATCTCAGGAATATGAATTGTTCCAGTATGTAAACATATCATCTTCTTGGATCATATAAAGTAAGTTCAGTTCAGGGGGAACATATTCTCAGATATGCCTGTCAAAGCACACATATTATTCAATCATATATTAATTAGTTGACCATGCTTAAATACACTGTGGCAATGAATGTGGGCATGATGTAATCCAGAAAACCTAGAAATCCTCTAAGCAGATCGTTCAAGGGCGTTTCCATGGATGCAAAGAGATATTTCAAGGGTCTGCGGCAGTCTCCAAACAGGCTACAGCTCTGTTCCTCAGCGTGATCATGGTGAGGCAGCGAGGCATCCCTTTTGGTCATTGATCTTTTGCCCGACTGTACTGTGGTATCCAGTGGATACCTCAACAGTCATGCAGCAGGACGAGACCTCTCAATACCCCAAAGATTGGTGATGGGATGGACCAACAGATTTTGCAAGAGACGTGTCCCAAACAGAATTGTATATATATAAAGACTCGCACCCATTGTTTTCACCCGCGCATGCAGG